GGGGAGGGTGCCGCGGCTCCCCCGGGGCAGCGAGCGGCGGGTACCTGGCCGGCGGGTCCGGGGTAGCGGGACGGGGGCAAAGCTGACATATCCGTGCACGCTGGGTGGAGGGGAGGGAAGGGCGAGGGATGGAGCGTCCCGCACGCTGACGGCACCGGCCAGGAAAGCCGGGGGCTTTGTGCTAAGTCTGCTGTTTATCCTACTGCAAGCAGGAAGCCGCTGTAGCTGAGCCAGCAAAGTGCTTTGTTATTCACCCTCTCGTAGTGACGACAGGACCTTCTGCCAGGCAGCAGACCTGGCTGTTACCTCCCCGTTGCAACACGTCCATCAGCCGGCTGGGTTCAGACACGCTCGCGCCCGGCAGCATCAGCAAAAGCCGACCCCGTTTGGCTTTGGCTCTGAACTGACAGACTGTGTGTGTGTGCTGCAAGGCGGGACCACAATTTAAGCTGGCGAAGATGGCTAGCATGGTTTGGGAGAGTGCATCGCTCTCTCCCGGGAGCTGCTCCGGCATGTCGGTCCCAGCCTGAACGACAGGGATTCACTCTTCCCCACGGGACAAGATCCTTCCTGCCCTTCGGAGAGCTTCGGTCTGCATCTAACTAAAACCACCCCCTTCTACAGTTTAAGACCAAGTTTTTCTGTTGCCTGCGAAGGTTTTGGAGCAGGTCCTGTTTACCTTGGGAAAGGGACTGTGTTTAGAAACAGGCACCGTGAGGGAGCTGCAGTGGAAGTCTCAGGGAGGAGGACGTAGTTTTCGCTGCCTTGCTGGGCTTTAAAAGCAGCAGGAGCTGGCAGGGAGCTTTACTGATCACCAGGTCCTTGGCCAGACAGCGTACACACCACCGAGATCCTGGATTTCCCCTCGGGGGAACTCCCTGCCTGCGATTGTCCCCGGCTCAATGGCTCCGTGCGGCTCCGAGCCCTTCTCTTCCGGAGAACCGGGCGCCTTGGCCTGGCCCAGCCCTGCCCAGCTGCCTGGTGCCCCCCGTCCTCGCCGCTCCGCCAGTGGGGAAACGTTTCGGGGGAAGGAGGAATTTCTCCCCAGTCTTTGTTTCCATACATGTTTCCACCCTTAGTGCCGTGCCGGATAGTAGGGGAGAGCTGAAGCCCAGGCCATGCCCTGCTGCAGACCTTGGCTGGTCGTTCAGTTTGCTAAAGGGAATAACCGGGCTCGGCCTGCTTTGCCCAGGGAGAAGAGCGTGGCGAAGGTGCCGCGACGCTGGGAGCGCGAGCGGTGCCGCCGCGTGTCTGCGCCAGCAGGAGATCGGATTCGATGGCTGCTTTAAACACTACGGAAACCCA